GTAAGATTTTATAATAAACTGCCAGATTCTGCACTAAATCTGACAGAGAGGCAATTCAAATCTTATATTAAACAATTTTTGTGTAAGAAAGCCTATTACAGGATAGACGAATTCATAGACGACAACATATCAAGTAAATAACTAGTTTATTAGCATACAACGTTATAATTTAATTTTCTCATTGCTTTCTTGATTTAATTGATTGATTTTAGAAATATGAAAGCGTAGCGGTTTTTGTATTGATTGCCGCATGCATTCTTATGTAAAATGTGAATACTATAACTATCAGATAGCAATTGTAAGTAGCTTTGACGTAGTCTAGTGTTTTGAGTAGTCATGCTCACTAAAATGTCCAGACTTGTGGCGGCGTGGTGGGCCGGGTCATTGGGCTCCCTAAAATATGGTCGAGCGCAGTGATGGCTGGCTCATCCGTCATACTCGTGAACGGGTGCTGCTTGTAGGGACTGGTCTGCTCTAATCACTATGACTGATTTCCTCTTATTAATTGTTTAACCAGTTGGTTATATATTCAATATTATTTCTATTTGAGTATTTAATAGAATTAGTGCTAATTGGTGGTTTGTATTCACACACTTAAACTTAAAAATGTAAAGTAATAATAAATTATTTAAAAGAGCAACACGCAAGTTTCTTGCTCGTTCTTCTTGTGATGAGACAGCTTTCCGAACGAGTGGTAGATTAAAAAATGTAATGACTATTCAAAAGTGCTTCAATGTAAGTTTATTTGAATAAATGATTTTCTATTCTATTCTATTCTATTAATTGAATGTCGCTTTTGGTACTTTAAAACAAGTATCAGCCAAATTAGTTATTTCCACTAATTAGGACTGCAGCCAAATATAAATGAGGATTGTTCATATTTCCGACGTGGAAAATAAACTAAGGAGTCGAACAGGTGGTATCTGCACAGGGTTGCGTATTATCAAACAAAGATACTGACTAAATATTTATGAAATTAAATATACTGTGTCAAAGAACAATAGTTATCAATAATAGAAAGTCATACTATACCGTAGTCATATTAATTAAAGCTTATATGGATATGCTTTTTCTTGAAAGTTATTTTTTTTTATATTACTGTTGTTGAGTTTGTTCTTAGTATTTTATTCACATGGATATTGATAATTATTTTTTCAATTTGTTTCAACATTTATTCGATTTATTTTATATATTAGTAACTTTAAAAAACAATTCGTTAATTAAAAATAAAAATATACCGTAACATTACCATGTCATTTCAAAAAAATAAAAGACAATTATTGTTATCACATATACAATTTAAATTCAAATGAATTGACTTTAGTTTCACTGAAACTTGAGAACGTATGAACCGATATGTCTAAATTTGATTTTGATATATTTATAGAAGTCCAAGAAAGATTTGCAAAGTGAAAAATATGAACAAATTGAAGTAATATAGAAAAAATCACATATTTATATTCCCATACACCATTAAATTCTGAAATGGTATGAAGTTCGCCGGGTCAGCTAACAACCAATGAACTACAAACTAACTAACTATTGCCAAGTAACGTAAAAAGGAAAGCAACAACCCATTGAGACAATATCAATTAACTAGTAGGAATTTGTGGTAACCCTGAATGGGTTGACAGCTAAATTCCAACTGCGGTCCATTGTGAAACCAAGAACCATCAATGATGTAAACACGTGCCTCAATGTACTACTAGAGGATTAGTCTAATGAAAAATTATAGGCAAACATACATTTAGACTGAGTAACAGATGAAACTGGACTTGAGTAGGCGGTCTTAGATATAATAAATATTGAATTTATTAGATTATTTCAATTGTTTTGTTGATTTTCCATTGAATCTTTAATAGAGTCATTAACGCAATTTATATATGTATAATTAAATACATTATGTGACATTTCAAAAATAAAGTTTTTATTTAACTAGAAGAACTATATTTTAATTGGCCTCTATATTAATTACTATCATAAAGAAGAGATATTGAATTCATTGTTTGCATTAACAAGGCTCCGTAACAACTGGACTGAATCAAAAATTTATTAATGACTTTTCATAATTTCTTTGCTACGCATCGGTACGCATTTTTGAAGGACTTTATTTTAAATTCTGCTTCTCATGGCTTTTCCCCACGCTTCACTACGTTTTGAAGATGACAAAGAGTGAAGTCCACTCTTACTCCAACACTATTTGAAGAGAGAGATTGTAACATGTTTATACTACAGATATCTGCCTACTCATATGCGGGACTAAATCTCAAAGAAAAATACAAAATAAAGTCTGGAATAGTTAATGATTACTTATAGATAGTTATTGACATTTTAAAATGATCTGCCTGTGCTTTATCTAACAAATGTATTTTATCTGGAAATTAAACGACTGTAAGATTGATAAATCTTCTTAGTTAACTATGGAACACGTTACAGATAAGAGTAAAGCATACTCATTAATACAACTCTAGATGCATGAATACATCCATTTTGTATGAATTATAACTTTGATATGTACCAACACTATCCAATGTCAGACGAGTAAATACGTACATCAAAACTGTTGCCAGAGATCATTAACACATCAATAAATTTAAGAGTAGTGAAGTTAGCAATGTACTCATTAGACGAACACAAAGGAAATCATTTAAAACAGAAAAGAGTTTTGGGATTAGCGTGAAACCAGATTGAAAGAGATAGGTCTAAACGTTGTGGAATTAGTAAGGACGGATGTTGTGTATAAAAATAGGCAGATACGAATGCGTACTGTAGTAATAACATGTCACCAGTTACGAGAGGTAATAAATCATTATAAATTATTTAAAAACGCTCACGACAATGTTATTGAATGTATCTTTAGCATTGGACAGCGTACAGTTCATATGATAAAGAATTGTTCAGAATGTTTGGGAACATATCATGACAATTCCCAAATATCTTGCTTACAATTATTATTTAGATGTTAGAGATTCAAGCATTGTGCATGTCTATGTACCTACAACGTATCATGAACTGTACAAAAGATCGGAAATATCACAGAAAAGAGAACTAACATTTTTAGCTGTGATAGGAATTATATTATTTAAAAAAATATGTGATTTCTACATAAATTCGTATATTTCTAGATATTGTGTTATACTTGCCTCTTACAAACTTTTTACAGTTTTACATTGTTACAAAAATAAATTAAGAAAAAATATATTAATCAATTGATTGATAGCTGATATACTTTGGATAGACAAATTTACTATGGTTAATAGAATTAATTCACCAATATATAGAGATATATGTAAATGATCCAATATATAAAAATAGATATATATGCTATAAACTTTAGAGTATACTTTTGGTGAACGGTTACAGACTTCAAACTAGCAACATGAGGACTACCTTATCTTTGAGGGATCTCTGAGATACTCCACGATAACAAAGACCAGGGAAAAGTGAGGTTGGCTTTGCTGTCTGGCGCTGGCTATTCCTGAGGATCCATTCTCTACATTTGACGGACTTTAGAAAGAATGCTTCACAGGCCGTTAACGTTTCAGTTGGGTACGAGTTAAATGATCGTGATTGAAAAAAATCTGAGTTAGCTATTAACTTTTATGTTATTTTAAATTGTATTACTTAAAAAACTGAAGGATATTCAATGAAATACGATCTTAGGGTCTCCCAACTCCCAACATGAATAAACAAGCATTCCCCATGAGATGACATAGTTTTTCTTTTTATGAAAACTAGTGTAATCGCATTTAGGAAACCAAACAAACATAATGTGTATGTATTTACGACGATCTATTTCTGTGAGGTCGGGGGAAATGTCGGCCTTGCCAACGCTAACATTTGCCGATTATTTACCATTGCGATGAACACGCTATTTATCATAATATGAAGACGTCTTTTGTAACGTAAACACAATTATTTATTTCATTATATTATATATCATTTTCCTTATAAACTATAATGCAAAATAAATAATAGAGCAAACGTACTTCTTGTGTCGTAATGTATCTTTATATGAATATATTATTGACTAAAAAATAGTCATTAACTGATACCTAAATTAAATAATAATACAACAAAAGCATAAGTATATATATACGAATAGTAACCAATAGTCTTACTACCGATGGTCGTGGGTTCAATCGGATTCCTGCGTCTAAAGTTTTACCCCCGTCAACCCGAGACTGAATTTAAAGTCTTAAAAACTATTACTGAAAAAAACAGCTTTCTAGGTCCAACTGTTTAGATCGGCCGTTGATTAGTGACTGAGTAAGGCCTTGCCTTGTTATAGTTATATATAAGTACATAAAATTAGTCCTTAGAAAATGTATACCGAGGTAGACTGCGAAAAGTCATCTGCGTGAATACCTCAGTCTCAACTAAATCTGCAGTCAGGCAATATATCGGTTGAAGTGAGATAAGGAAATGAAATTATAAGATAAGAGGCATGACATCTTTGTCCTCCGAAATGGCAACGCATGCGTAGTATACCACAAGCGTCACATGATAACGTCATATCTGTATTGCTATTCAGTATAAAGGCTCGCTATCCACCTTATTTGTCATTTCAATTGCATAAAAAAATGCGTCATAATAAACTCTCTGGCGTTGGTTGTATTTATAAATATAACTTACATTTTTTTGGAAAAGTTACACACAGCGCCATCTAGTCTCAACCTAAGCAGACTAAGTTTGTGTTATGGATACTAGACAATTGATACAAATACTTAAATGCATTTATGTATGCATTTACAAAAAATGTATTTTTGTAAATGCATACATATTATACATAGAATAGCCCCTATTCTATGTATAATATGTATGCATTTAAGGAAGGGGATTGTTAGTAATGTAGACTAAAGACCTAAATTTTTCATAGAATTTCCAAAAGAATACACCCAGATCGATACTGCCAATCATACTGGATCCTGGATGCAAATGTTTGTACCGTGCGAGGAATCGAATTTGCATTTATAAGATATGAACAATGATTTACTTACCGGACTTTTCACTATACGGGGACGTTTTATCTCCGTAGTTTCCGTATCGGGCGTTACTGAGATCGTCGAGCAAGGTGTCCAACTCAGACATGTTGCCGCGGCCGCCCGTCGTCCGACCGTACCCGGGCGACTGTCCGACATTGTATCCGGGCGAATGTATGGTATTATAACCGGGTGATTGCCCGGCATTGTATCCGGGCGATTGGTTCCCGTAACTGGACTGTGAGCCGGTATACTTCACTGGGATCACCTTTTCGTGGACTGCACTTGCATTTTGATAGGTGGGCTGAGGACAAATGAATAATTACATTATTAATCTGAATATTACTGAATATTATTAACCATTAAGTCCCAAATTAAGAGAATTTGTACTTTATACCATAGACAACTAGAAAACTAACTTAAACTTCTTAAATATCTTAATACACATATATAATATATGTATATAGAAAATATCTATCTATCAATAAATAAAACTCATTTGTATAAAATAACTTTTTATAATAATCGAACCCGCAACCAATTGTAGGTGAGAAAGAGAGTGTTAAATTGCTAGACCATCAAGTTCATAAAAACACTTATTGTTTATTTCATACCAGATACTAGTAATCTAAATAGGAATTGCTTTCTAACAGGTGATATTATGATGAAAGAGCGGAGGGGATTGTTAGTAATACAGATTAAGAATGAAAGAAAGAAAATATGTTTTTTAGATTCACATAATTAATAAAAAAAACTAAAATAAAAAGATTATCAAATACAATTGGAGCACTAATATGTTGTATCGAAAAGGTCTCTAGTCATAAATTACTGGCCAATTTCTAGCAATATACCCTATGACATCGACCTCAATGCATGGCTAATTCCTATAAATTCGTCACGATGAGTTAACTATCTGATTTCATGCTAATTCTATCATCCTCCACAGGTCATGCCCGCGTGAACTTTATATACTTTTCTTTTGTACCTCAGTGGACTAGTGGTTTAGCACACCGTCTATCTACCGATAGTATTCATGAGTGTAATTGTTTATATAGATCTGGGTCTTTTCTATACATATATTATATATATCTTTACAAAAAGGTAAAAAATATTTGTATGATGATGATTGTGTTAGTTGTCTAATACCCATAACACAAGATCTGCTTAGTCTGGGACTTGTCCTAACAGTACTGTTGTTCTGTTTATCCTATTCATATATTTTAACATTCCACATCAATAGCGTGGTGACATCTGTAACACCAATCTGCTAACTTTATTGGACAAATAGATTTCGCGCCAAGACACGAATGTTCTAGTTTTTATGAATGTTATAAGATGGCGTTACTATAATATATAAATTCTGTACTGAATTATTTACTAAAACTTGTAGTGTAAATAGTTTTTTGTAATTTTACTTTTCTTTAAAGAACGCCATATCGTCTAACCACGGCAAAATTCATATATACTAGGGATATGGGACTAACAAAACATTTTGATGAAAATAAGAGTAAGTCAGTAAGGCACTTAACCCGACGCGTAAAGGTTTACAGTATTTTTGTCTTGTGTTTGTTACAAAGATATCGCCTTTGCTGATTTAGCAAAGGCTTATACTATATATATTTAAAAAGTGGGACAACAATAATATATTTGAACTACAACAGTGTCGTTTTAATCTAATAAATAAAATCAATATTTGTCTGTTTGTTCGTCACTTAGGTCGTTTGTCCTATTGTGATAAAACTTAGACAGCTTATTGTTTACACTTGTCTGAATCTTGGAGATATTCGTACAGTTGGTTTTGTAAGTGTTACGTGAAACGTATTCGATTGTAAATGTATTGTAATATAAGTGTGACTCCGTTCCCCGCATTTGGCGAGCTATGAGTGTAGAGCCGACTCTACTAAAGTAGTCAGACAAGCTCATTCCAGAAGTGTAGAAGCTTTCATAAAAAGAAAGAAAATATACATTTACAGGCTTCTCAGTGCGACCTCGCTGTTTCTAATATATGTGTACGATGTGAGCCACTGTTACGTACTTTACAATTACGTGGACAGTCGTTTATTCTGCTTCGATGCAGGCTTATCATAGAACAATATCCTATTGTATACAAGTGTTTAAGGAATAGTGGGTATTATCCCTATCATTATATTGGGGTTATTCTTATGTAGGCTTAAAGGTAGTTTTGTTAACCATTGAAATATAGATGATATATATTAGTAGAATAGTCGAGTTTATATGTATTTATTCTGTGTATATTTATCAATAGCTATACAAGGTAAATCGTAATACACGTACAGCAATAGTGATAGTAGGTATACATAAAACTGATCAACGTATCCCAAAACAGTGTATTAATTGGGTGGTAACATTTATCTGTTCTACTAAACACAAGTTCATTAAACAAACAAATGAGTAATGCTAAGACTTCATCAAGGATAACTAATTAAAGCGGCTAATGGTATCACTGACTCAATAATTAGATCTAGTCCAAGCTAATTTCATTATAGTCCGAGACCACGTTTTTGCGTGTGGGGATGAATTCCCTGTCGATGGTGAGCGGTGCGATGGTAAAAGGCATCTAGGAACTTCATTACCTGAGTTGGAATTAGCGATATACCAATCGAGGCACTACGACAATAGTTTTATTACAATACCGATTTTATAATGTCAACGTTGTTTTATTTACATTCAATAAGGAAAATATGTACTGTAAAATCATAATTATTCATTTATTAGGTTAAAATAATAGTCCTCAATTTATATACTACTACCTATGTTCCGGACTGCGTCCGCGTGGAATAGTGACCTTGGATAGCATTTTAAATTATTTAGGCTAATTATAAAAAGCCAAAGAAAAAAGTTTTATCGTTCTAGCTTCAAAAATAATGATTTTCTGTATATTTTCATCCCCTATTTTAATTTACCTCTTAAGGGTAAAATGTTTATAAACTTTGAACGACATATTTATTTATATTTAACCATCAGCCTAAAAATAAGTAAACATCTGTATTAATAAATGACGATATTACGTTAAAACAATAAAAAAAACCATTTTACACACTACCATGTATTTGATACAAACACACATATACTCTTTTTTTTATTGTTAAAGTCAGTGGTCAAACTGAGTCTAGATTGATATTGTTTGTCTAATCTTACCGAATGTTAAATTATGGTCGCCTATCAACCACTGGGCGACCACTAGTAATAATAAAAGCAATACAGTGACATCATTCATTGAAAAGTTTGAAGTATGAGGGAGATCCATCAACTGTAGTCCTGTGCTACACTCGAGTACATCTGTGAGGTCTTACCTCCTAACTTCCAGTAATGGATTGCGAACCTGGTTACCTACGATATAATCGAATGTGTCTGCTCTGAACTGTAAATTCTGCTCAAACTTCTGGACTATATATGATTTAAATACGATTATCGATATTAGTGCTACATTCGTATTTTTATATTCATTGTTACACTTTCATTGTTTCATTGTTAGACTAAACAAGTCTAGGATAGCAGTCTAAATTAGTATTCCCTCTTCCAATTCATCAACAAAGAATTTCGTTTCATGTTCGTTTTTATACTGTGGCTAAGTGATCTGGTTTATGCTCGTCAAATTTTACTGGTTGCTCCACTATAACGTAAGGTTTTAGTCAACCGCAGGCAATTCGAGTACCGAAACTATAACGACAATTAAGAAGACAATGTTTGACCCCGAACTCGACTTCATAATTTCGCCATAGACATCCACATACCTCACTAATATCAACATAAAAATATGCTGGAACTTACTGAAGAAGGCTTAATATAATCTGAGCTGATATTCCTCGATCCATTAATAGATCCATATCCGGTGGAAGTTGGTGAACTGAGGCTGCCGCCTGGCGAACTCAATCGTCCTGGGGAGCTCCTGCCGCCTGGTGAACTAGTCCTGCCAGGGGAAGCAGTACGCCCTCCTGGTGATCCAGTACGACCTCCCGGACTGCCCACTCGACCGCCAGAGTTACTGATAGAGTTCTGGAGATCAGCGAGTAGGGCATCTGTAATGAAGAAAACAATAAAGGTTAGACCTATAAGGATAAAAGGTAAGATTTTTGCAACGTCGTTCCTAAGATATTAAAATTTTACATCTATTATTAAATCTCGCATCATAAAGAAATCTCGCCCAATAAAGGGTAACAATACCATAAACAGAAAATCTATAGCATATTAAATTATTCAATTCATAGCACCACATAGCATATTCAATCTATCTATCTATATCTAGCATATTCTATATAATCGAACCGTTTTCGCAATCACACATCTAGCAGCTCTGAAAAAGAACATAAAGCTCATTGGGAAAGTAATTTCATTAGAATAAACCGCCAAAATATGATAAGCAATAATAAAATGTACATTATTATCTCTTACAACAGACCTTAATATATTTTTTTAAAGTTGAACAGATATCCTTCGACATCTTTACAACAACAACAACAATAACAATAGGTATATGTATTAATGAATAGAATATAGAGGTTACGTTTTAGACCACAAAAGCATTAGAGCGATGTATAAAATGAATATATTGAATATTGCAATTTTCCTTCAGCATGTCTCAGTTTACTCAATGACATCATGTGTATTTAATGTGTCGTTTTAATTGGCTGCAATAGAGGCGACGCCGGTATCATTCAATACGGCTTATATTTATTTAGTTATATATCATAATTTCCTTCAATGAACCTTCAGGGAATGAAAATAAAATTCATTTTAATGTATCGCATACTGCATAAACAATCACATAACCTCACGTTCAGTATTCCGAGAAAGCATTGACATGAGTCTGAACTCATTGATGATTTTGCTGTTTTGTCTATTGCATGCAGAATGAACATAGTATTGGCATTTTATTGGGTGTTACTACAAAATTGGTGTATTCAAATTCTCTATTCTATTCTCTAAAAGTCACCTAGTCTCTTTTAAAGGAAGAAATTACAATTTTTATGTAATCTATTTAGACAAGGTCTCTTATTGATAACGCTTGTGGTAGCAATATACGTAAGTATCTGGAGTACATAAGGTATACTTATTTCTTATTGAGCATTTCATGCAGGTAAACACATGTTATTAGCGAACTGACCAGCAAACGAACAATTTCAACATACCTATTAGATATTATTAGTCATAACAACCTACATTACAAAACGGCTCTAGGATATGACCACATGATAGGATTTTCCAAAAGTTGAGAACTTTCATTGACAAACTTCTTAGCTTTTGGGAACACCCAGAATTTTACATGATACAAACGTATGGTATGAAACTCTAAAAACTTCAAAGTGGAACACGCTATACACTTTTATTTCTTACAACCTTTTAGCTTAGATCTATAATAAAACGAATTAGCTATCAACCATCTTAGGTTATTATCATCCTTAATTCAATGGATTAGGCGTTATGAAACTATCAAGTTTAGAACACAGTCAGTAAAATATTCTCTCAAAATTTATCATTATTAGTAGCCAAGGCTTTCTAAATTATCATCGTGGAATACGGTATTAATAAACGTGTAAACATCAAGGTTCACAGATACTAAACAAACATTGAATTATGTTTTCAGATACGATTCATTTAGCTCCTTGCTAGAGCCTATCCGCAAATTCATTACGAATGAAACTCTACAAGAATATACCTGGCTCTAAAACTGGTTTAAGATTATTCAATGAACTTAAATGTATAATAACCGAATCTTATTTGAATTTGTATTACCTACCATCCTTGAATACATTTGTCAAAACTAGTTTCCTTTTTTGGAGGGTTCATTGACTTCCATTATTGGTGTTCATCCAGGTAGCAATTTTATCAGAATCTAAATGAACAGCGACTTCATTCACCATAGACAAAACACACTTATCGGTCATTAACATTGTTGACATAATAGACTAATACATGGATAAGATAATGTACCAAAGATATTTTATTTCATGGGATGTGATGAATTCATTTTATATAAAGTAATAAGATCCTATTTGTACTGTATACATGATAAGTTAATTGTCATTAAAAGTACAAAGGATGATTCACTTCGACACAGGTCTCATACAAAATAACCATATTAAGAAACAAAACAAAGAAGATGAAATTAAATTATTAACATGACTTTTACAATGTGACAATAAGAAATTTTGCAATATGATATATATATACGGGAAGACGAAATTAGATACAAACAAGAGTAAATACGAAATAAGTAAATCAAGGGCACAAAAATACCTAGTCCTTCAACAGCTTCATAAACATCTTCATAATCTGACTGCCGAGGCCGGCTCGAAACCTTAGGTGTTTTCAATATCTTCCCGTAAATAGCATCGTTCACTGTATAATGAGTTTTCGACAATCTTGACATATTGGTTTTCAATTGTAAATCACTACAATAATTATCCAAAATCGTTGAGTGTGCAAACTGGTTCGAAAGAGAGACTATAACCTCGAGCAATTCGCGAGAAACGCTTGTAAAAAAAAACAAGTCTCACTCAAGGGCGGAGGAAGGGATTCTAAATTTAAATATATTTTATCCTTTGAGGATAGGCGCGCGCGGCTCTGTTATGGACTAATACAGTACTGATTCGCCCGTAGAGAGCGCAGTCAAAACCGCACACAACCTAACTCATTGTTCACATAAATATTTGCGATTCTTTAAACGTATTTGTTTAAGTTAAAACATAACAGCGGTTAATGCGCTTAAAATATATAAATCATTATCCTTACTACTTTTATGCACAACTTAAATCTTAAACGATTCTAATATATAGCTTGCTTATATATTAGAATCGTTTAAGATTTAAGTAACATAAGATGCGCAAAATATTTCCATATTTAAAATTAAACAATATTCAAGTGAAGATGTTTAAATTTTATAATAATTAGATAGTGACAGTCGATTTAATGTAAATGTAATTACGTCACACGATGACTTTATTATCTTATGTAATTTCTCTCGATTGCTTTCTTATTCGTGTTCAATTACGATTTCGTAATTGAACACGAATAAGAAAGTAATCTAGAATAGATATATCTAGAATAGATAATAATCTAGACAGTACATTTGTACTAATTGGTAAATTTTACAGATGAAAGTCAAGGCTTTTGTAGTGAAACTAAAATAACGGAATCAACAAAAGATTGGAATCTCGTACACTGTGACATAACATAACATAACATGATGATTACCTACCATATTTGCATATATAATTTGTCTCGCTTACTGTCATTACAGTGAAATCAATAACATTACTTCTACGCGTACATCATTAAATAAATCAATAGACATAATTCTATAGCGTACATACTTGTGTTTTTAGGTTCATGTACAAAAGCTAGTTAATTTCAATAGCTAAAACTGTAGTTTAAGAGTTTCTTTATTGTCAATTTATTTATTTTTATGTATTTTGTAGTCTATATCAAATTTAATTCTGTTTACAGTACAAATATAATAAAGTTATACATGAAATAACCAAAGTGGGAATTATATATACATTGCGCCTACAAATTGTATGCTAGCAAAATCACGTTACAATGAGTAAATGCTATGAATATCACAGTAGGCGTTCATTGCTAAAGTAAAGCAATCAGGATGTCTAGAATTACCAAACAATAATAATTATGATGATCATGACAGCTAGTTTTCTAACATAATTGCTTTTATTTTGTTATGCAGTTCTTGTTATTTTTTTTTTATATAAATAAAAACAGTTTTCTTATTGTTTTAAATTTGGTTTCATATATAGTTGTTTATAATGAAATAGGAAATAATTATTAATGCATTAAATGCACAATATTAAATAACTTGAAAAATTAGTAGTTCACAGTGATAGAATTGTCGTCAGAATATATGTACATGCTTTCCACCGCCTTATACCTACTAAAATCTAAGTACGCTTTTTGTTACAGATAAAGTGCTATAAAGGTAATTTGGAGGATTCATGAATTGAAATAACTATTATTGCCACCAACAAATTGGACTTTCGTTTTTATACTATTAAGTAACATAGAATCAATAACCATAATTAATTACGTTGAACTCAGAAACCTCGTTATTTTGTAATTATGATAGTTCTGCTATATAGAAGCCTATAGTTCTACGGTTCAAACCGTAGAACTATAGGCTATTTTCATTGAACATTTTAATGGCCTACTAAGCTTAGAAGGCATTACGTAAGACAATTATTATTGGCAGAATTACTGGCGAGCATGAGTATGAGTGGTAACTGTAAATAATACAATGCTGTAACATTTTGCGGTTCCAACACGCAAGGTTATCTGTGAGGTGACACTGGGCTCTAATGATACGCAATAGGTATACTTCTGCAGATAGAACTAACGTATCTAGAAATAAAGCTAGTGATTTAAGGGCTGACTTGACTATTTACAAAAAAAAATTAGACTTCTATTTCGTAGGGATAAATATTTTTACTCTTTAACACGATCACTGGAAAATTTAATTATTAAGTTATATTGCAGTTTATAAATGATTATAGAAGCTATTAATTTTTGGCAAAGTAATTTAATTTCATCTAATGTATAAATATATACTTGAATATTCAACTTAGAAAATTTGTTATAATATCTAATTTTATGTAGAGTACAAAATGTATTTAAAATAATTTACATATTTATTCATAATTTGTAATTGTACGTAGCATTCTCTAAATTAAAGCATTTTAATAACAGTGGTCAATTGAGAACTGGGATAAAATAATTATTAAAACTGCACTATCTTCTAAACATTACGAATAGTAGATAAAGAACAGACGTGTGTGTCTTGAAAAAAAATATTATTTATTTAGCACTTTTTATATGTCTCTTATATAGGCAGTTGTGCGTGAACGTGTCTGTTTTAACTCTTAATGAGCATACATATCTAAATGGAGTCTGAATTGCATTAAGCATATTATCAAACAAAAAGCGTTACAGTAATACCATTACATGTAATTACGCAACATTTGTTTACGGACTCGTCTGGCGAATGCTCCACTAACACGAAACCGATATAGCGCAAGGCCACACAATAAAAGCTACTTGACTCATTCATGATGATCACAACTCCTGGACGCTACTCACCAAGGTATGCACTGAAGTCCGTGAAGTAGTTCCTCCAATCTGTGGAGGTCAGCTCCGGCGGATTCGAGGGTCCCCTATCGGCACTGTATTTACGTTCTAGAACGGGTGAGAACGACACAGTCTTAGGGGATGCGGAGCGCGTGCGCACGGACGCCATCCCTCTACACTGGGGTATATAAGGCGCAGCGGGTCAAATTCGCGGGCAGTCGTGGTTGTACCACGGCTGGGTGAAGACTGGTTATTTTCGGAGACGTGAGTTATCTACGGCACGAGCGACGACGGGTGATAGCGCGGTCACACTGGGACTAGCGGTTGAGTTACGCGACGTGCTATTCCCGTCAGGTGGTCATTTCCGCCGTTGTTTCCCAATAGATCGCGAACTGACTTCATTAACCTCATTACGTACATTGTGACAGTAGCAAGAAAAAATAAAACACAGGTGCTCGAGTGGATCCATAAAATAAATGGACTTTTAAGTTATATCACCAATATCCACTTTATTTTAGTACGTAGTAACTAATAATAAAAAAATCCCTGGACAATTCACACAGCGTCATCTAGTCACGCTAAGCAGGGTTTGTGTTACAGGTACTAGACAAATGATAGATATATTTAGATACATTTTTTTACAACTACTGTATATAGAAAACGCCCAGACCAATACAAATACTTATGAATACAAATGTTTGCGAAGATCGAACCAGCGATCATTAGAAGTAAAGCGCTGTGCTAAGCCGATAGACCACCGAGGCCGTATTATATCTGAAGCATAAACCGTGCGTATACGAAAAGTAAGGAGTCTTGATCAAATAAAATTCCCTATTTAGCAAAATAGTTACTGACTGCAAATATACGCAATTTACACCATCGATTAGTTACTGCATTAGCACGATTTGCACCATCTATTAACAACATAGTAGATAATCAATAGTTGAGTAGACAGCTTAAAATAGAATATAGGTACTACTGTTATTTTATTAATCTCTTACTAATATTATAAACACGAAAGTTTGTGAGTACGGATGGATGGATGTTTACGGTTACGGAAAAACCGTATGACTTTACGGTTTTTCATGATCCTTTACAGTAATATATTACTGTAAAGCTTAGACATCAGAATAACAGATACGCTATAAATTTTAAGCTGGTGAAACCGCGGGTACACCTAGTATTAAATATTATTAACAGAATATAAACTGAGAGTAATGTGTTAATAATATACATATATGGTTTGTCAGACAATGTATTTTTTTGCTACTAGCATGTATTTCTGATGCAGAATGGTATGGTAATGGTAATAGTGAAAATTAAAAAATAACTGTGGTAGTTGAAAGAGTTATGTCGTGACAGAGTCCGAATGATAAGGTAAGGAAGAAAGGCAAACCTCAAATGACATATTAGAAATTTGCTTATTGCCTTTTTATACTTTGTCAATTAAATTGAAATACATATTTCTAATGTATATAATGAGTACTCTAATGTATATGTATATAAATTATTTTATTTATTTTTGGAAAAGAGGCGCAAATAAAAAAGTATTTTAGTACTGAAGAAATTTTCTTTCAACACACACACTTAGCAGTGCAATACACGCGAAATAATGCAAAGTGTACACCTATAACTTTCGCGTAAGTAAAAAAGTATACAAGGTTTCATCACAATGGATTTAACTGTACTAAAGCTAATAAAATACGAATACATATTGAGTTTTATATTATACTAGCTGACACGTGCAACTTCGTCTCACACTTACTTGAACATTTATTATTACATATATCGCCCAATTCACATATTATTGTTACAAATACATAGGTATTCTAATGTATAAACTATATTACTGTAAAGTTCGTTCATCAAAATCCGTTCATTAGTTTTTGTATGAAAGAGTAACAAACATCTATTCATTCATCCACCCATACTCACAAATTTTCGCGTTTATAATATTAATAAGATGTAATAGCAAGAAATTTAGTGATAGGCACTCCACACGTGACTATATTAAACGATTGTTGCTACGTTGTCATCAAACTTATGCTTGTGTATATAACATTCTAAATTACATAAACCGACCCAAGTGTTAATGACGTGAAGAACCTACACGTGATAATGAATTGTTGGAACAAACGTTGGACGAGACACCTGCTCGACGTTACATAAGCGGCGCGGACGTGGGCGGGCGGCGCCCTACAGCCCAGCAAGTCATCATTATAGACTCACGCGGCTCTAAATAAAATTAATGTATTTGACGACAGATATACCTAATTTTGGTTTATAATTTTTCAGTAGAATGTATGAGAAACTTTGTAAATATATGAATGTTTGTTACACAATAATATACTTGAAGTAAAAAGTAGGATCACTGTAATGTAACTGTTTGTAAGTTGGATGCATGAACTAATTCTTTGTAATATATGAATGATAAATAAATGAGAATAGATATTACATTATCTTTTAAATCAAATCTAATTTATTTTGCTATAAACAATAGGGCTACATAAGTTATAATTGTGAAATATTTATTATGATTTACCTCAAGTTTAATCATAAGTACGCAAAATTTTAAAATTATTAAAAAATTAATTCATTATCCAGAACATTGTCGTCAGATCAATAGATACATACATCATCACATTATTAGGTACTTAAAAAGTCTTTAAGGAGTAGAAACATTTGTGCAGTAACCAATTATTTAATTAATTTATCAATTGTCCTCATGAAAGTTCCTTTATATCGTCAGGTATTTTTATTATAAATTCGTATCGTAAACAACAAGAAACTGAATATTAAAAAAAAAAAGGATTACATAAACAAATACTTTTTAAGTTCATATCCGTTAAATTTCAATACATTAAAACACTAACCAGTAGCAATAACATAAGATCGATCATAGTGTGATGGCATCTGTTTTTTGTTATCACTGCTCGGTGAGTAAAATGGTTAAGGGATGTTGTTTAGAATCGATTCTAAAAATTGGATCGAGGTTAATAGATAATAAAAAAATCATATAATTAAAGCACGTTGGTATCAGAAAATAGAACACCTTGAGTTACATGATATACGAAGCCTCTCGTTGCGTGTCTGTTTGCACGAGCTGATCTTGAAAACACTGAATGGGTAATGCATTCTTCCCATATTACTCATATTTTGCAGAATTATTTTTAAAGAATTGTTAGTACAAAATTTAGGTTGGCAATGGATTCGATCCCGGATACAGTACACTATCCCATCATGAGTCCCCACGACTCATTTATAAGTTATAATATTTCTTTTCTAAATATTCTTTAAAGAAATGATATTTTAGTATGAAAATGAAACCTTTCGAAAATTCTATAGTACGATTTGAAACAGCGAATGCATGGGTGTACCTTAGATAATACATACACAAAACCACATTGCGGTAGGGAAAAATATTCCTACCTCAATGTGGTTCAAATAATAGAGTCAATTGGATTCAAATGAAATTGAGAATGCTGATGCTGTCATAGAGTCAAAATAACCAAATATTCATTAGTCATAGTGCAAATTTATTATGTATGTATTTTATATAAAACAGAAGATACACGTGTCATATATGAAGAGATAATGGTGACTTCAGTTTATATGTTTTTTTTTAATATTCATATATCATAATATCTAATGTCAAATACTACTATTTTCTCTGCATACTGATGGCCTCGGTGCTCTAGCGATCTAGCCCACTGCTTTAACTCTGATGGTCGCGGGTTTGATTCCTTGCAAGATGCAAACATTTATATTAATGAGTAAGATTGTACATTATATATTATTGTATATTATATATTTACGAAAAAATGTATTTAGGTATTTCTATCAGCTGTCTATCACCCATACTTTGCTTACCTTGAGACTAGACAACGCTGCATGAATTATCCAGGGTTATAATTATTATTAGACCTAACGCAACTGACAAAGTTAAAGGTACACAAAATGGTTTCATTTATATGGTAAAGGTGTTAACCACATTCAAGCGAAGCCGCGGAAATGGCTAGTCTAGTTATATAATACATAATCTTAAATTCATGTTTTCCTTTGTTCTACATTCTTATTCTTGACATTGGTTGTAGGTGGCGATCATTTAGGTGGGTGGAACATGAGGCACCGACTAGGGCTGTCAAATATAATTTATAATAATATACCTCGCTTTAGATATTTTATTTAATGTCATATAATGCTTTTGTGATTAGATCACACATATTTTCATATTGTTGTATACTAAACAAACTTTACCTACAATAAAAATAAATACTTGCCTGTTATTATTATTAAAATCATTCTTTCAGCAGTCTCTTGTTTTTTTTTTAAATTTTACATGATATATTCTTGACTCGTTAACCAGTTACATTCACTTTTATTTGAAAGATACTAGATATGCCATAATAATTTTATTAGTTTACATTTTGTCAAAACAATTCATTGTCCAATTATAAACTTATAAATGTCAATTACAGACATATCCAAAATGCGAAAGTTTTGAACTGTCATTAGTCATTGGCTTGTAATACTAAAAACATAGAGAACATTAAATAAATTCAACTTACGCAAAATCCATAAAAAAATATTTTTAAAGTTGGTATTTATATTATATTTTAAAAGAAAAAGTAAAAGAATATGTGACATCCCTATTTGTGACAGAAGGTCACAATGGTGCTTAGTAGGTAGCTAAAATGGTAAACGATATCTGTGTAATCTAAATGTGTTTTTAATAAAAAAAAATCCATCATCGACACCAAAATCGCGTTCTTTACGCTTCAATAGCCTATAAATAAAATAAAATTATTATTCTCTAATTGTAGGTTCCTTATAACTTTGTGAGTATTGTATGTAGTGATTGAAGATATATATAATGTTAATATTACAATATAAATTGCTTATATTACTCGGAATCTTGCTTATATGAATCTGATATTGATTAATATACCTTTCAAACAATGAAAGAATTTCAAATCCGTTTTCTCTCTTAGCAATAATAATATGGATTTAATCAAAAATGGTTCAAATATTTTTGTTTTTATCTATAAAGTTTTAAGATTTTTTCACTTTTTAAGAGCTACAGATACCAAGAAACTAAATTGTCCTAAAATACAAACGAATAAACAGGACTTTTCTTCATTTGAAGTGAGTCAGAAAGGATTAGAAAATAAGAACCTCCGGCCAATATTGCTGCGCAAATATTTACCTACCAATTATTCATACATATTGATGATGGATTTATTTAACACATGGATCTATTATATTAAACACAT